TTTTTAGTCATAATTTTTATTTAAATTGCGTTAATTTACGTATGCCATTCAGTACAACTTGCACATTTAAACTTTGTCTAGTCAAATTCCTACCTCAGTTTTATTTGCATTGATTAATTTGTTTCATTAAGTACAATATGCAGTATACATTGTTGATACTATAGTACGCATTTAGTGTTATCACGCATAAACAAAGTGATAAATTAGCAACAATCCAGAGGATAAAATGCCATGCGTACGACAGAGATGGTGCTGTTTGCACATTTTCTCAAGACCTCTAAATTTATACCTGCCTGCATATCTATTTATATATTATCTTTGGTAATGATTCATTTGGTGTACTCTCCCGCTTTGCCGTCTACAGCAAGGATGTATGCAAGGAAAGTTATTTCAGAGGTGTACACATCTTTTGTACTGCAGTGTACTGTCTCAGGGCGGCAATGTAAAAGCCTGACATGGGATCCATCTTTCACATAAAAAATCAATGAAATATTCTGGTCATAGGAAACTATTATGTGAATTATCAAAATTATCAAAATTTAACCTCCTCGAATACTAAACGAACACTTATGCATCTATTCTTGTTTACAAACTCCTCCCAAAGAGAACTGGTTTCAATGTTTACGCAGAGTATACACGACCGCAATTAACTTTCCTTGCATTACACCTTTGGTCTACAGTTTGTACGCGTTAAACTGTACTACTTCCCCAGAGCCCAAAACTTAAGACAGGGTATCATTGTGAAAACCAGTTTTGAAACCCGGGTTTCACGAATGGGGTAAGGTAGTTTTGTGAATATCAATATTTCTGTTTTGAAATATTATTTTATTTAGTTTATTCATATTCTCCATTTTTCGAATCTCTTAAATAAAATTCAACACAAATATTAAGACCCCAAAAAAGGAAACTCGGGAGTTTCGTTCAACGATACTCTTTTAAATTTAAGACAGGGTATCGTTATGAAACCCAGTTTTAAAACCCGGGTTTGACGAATGGGGTTAGTCAGTTTTGTGGATATCAATATTTTTGTCATAAAATACTATTTTATTTAGTTTCTTTATATTCTCCATTTTTGTCGAATCAAAATCTACAAAATGTTAAGATCCCAAAAAGGACACTCGGGAGTTTCGTTCGACGATACTCTTTTAAATTTCGGACTCTGAGCCCAAAACTTAAGACAGGGTATCGATATGAAAACCAGTTTTGAAACCCGGGTTTCACAAACGGGGTTAGGCAGTTTGGTGGATATCTATATTTATGTTTTAAATATTTTTTTTTATTTAGTTTCTTCATATTCTCCATTTTTGTCGAATCTCTTAAATCAAAATCTACAAAATGTTAAGACCCCAAAAAGGAAACTCTGGAGTTTCGTTCAACGATACTCTTTTAAATTTTGGGCACTAGCTGCCTATAAGTCAGTACGATACTTCTGTGTTCAGTCAAGTTTAATAAAAAGAATTAGGTTTAAAATTCACCAATCTCAAATAGGCTTAAACATTATTTCTTTTAAAGGATACTTAGTTTTTATTACTGAAAAAATGTTTGTTTTTAGAAGAAAAAAAAAGGACTGCTTCATTCAAATTTCTTGAAGGTTTTTATGAAATCCTTAAATTATTAAATCTCACATTTGGAAGAAAACAATTCTTAGCATTTCTTTTATTTATTTATAAGAGGAAAATGAAGAAAAATATAAAGTTTAAAGCTGCCCCAACCACATCTTTAATCCTTCTCAACTAAACTATTTACAATGGGACCTACAAAACTATGGACTAGGAAGACGACTAATAAGTTAATTTTCAAGTTTAATATAAACATCAAATACACACAAGATTATTTAAATGTTTTCTTCGTTTTTGCCCTAAATTTATTGATTCATGCATATATAAGATTGCTGAAAAGTGTTCTTCCTATTCTACAGTTTCAGGGGTCCTACTGTACAATCGCACACAGTACAGTACAGTTTCAGGGGTCCTACTGTACAATCGCACACAGTACAGTACAGTTTCAGTCAGAATGTACACTGTCCTTGTACAGAATGTACACTGTCCTTGTACAGAATGTACACTGTCCTGTCAGTTTCCATCTAATTATTTTTCCCTGCATTCTATAAAGATGTTTCTTTCTTTGTGAAATCTATAAATAACCTTTCTCCCTAAATAAGCCATAAAAAGATTGTATTCAAGACAACAGACTACTAGATCGGTATCATTATTTTTTAAGAGAATCATTTCGTCTTTTTAAACTTATTCTATGTTGGTAACCCTGTATTTAAAACTGATTTAATTGAGTATTGTTTATTTGAACAAGAGAGCCTTCAGCTACACTATATAAGATAAACAATACATCTCTTTGTTTGATTATATTTTAACAAAATTAGTGGTTTCCAAATTTCAACCAATCTCAAGAAAATATTTTTTTTCATGTCCAGAATTTTTACTCCTGTATATATTTGTATGATCAGATAAGAATAAGATACCACGGTCGGAGAAAAAAATTCACTTCTCTTTTTAGATTTTGTTTTAAAAAGTCCTATATATATTTCAGATTTGTAGGTTTTAAAAAATTTTTAGGCCATTTTGAAATAACGAAGAGCTTGATTGTAATTATGAAAATGATGTTAGAATAGCCAAAAACGAAAATTCCCCCAAAGAAAGAATCAGAATGATGAGAAAGAAAACATGCAAAAAAAGTCAAAGTCGCGGTGCGTCTAATGTTGGAATTTGTTTTAAGCTGAGGTTGTTTGCCAAAAATTAGAAATAAACAAGAAAAAATAATAGAAGAGAATATGATATTATGCAGTTTTGTTAATACCGGGAGAAGCTGAAAAGCCTATATCCGACTATATTTAAGCTTATATAGAAAAATTTTAATGTAAAAAGAGAATCAGAATAAAATTAAAATTTTCTCTGTTTGTTAATAAATTTACTCACATGACCTGTCCTTTGATTTTTGATAAATTTGTGCGACATGCATGACGTAGATCATTTTTCAAAGATAAAAAATTAATGTTCTTTTTGTTTTGTTTGATTGTGGAGCAATTTTTAATATCTATATCCGTATCTCAGTGATATAAAAGTTTTATCAATCTATCAAATATATGTTTGTTAGAAAAGAAATATATTGGTTTCTACCAGATTGTAAATACGTTTAAACAAATCGTCTATGCAAGCAACATAGGCAATATTTATGCATTGGACATTTTCTTTTGCATAGAGGATAAAATACATTTTACACAAATTTGAAGGGACGGTCTACCGTTCTACGCACATTCACGTGATCTCGACCTGATCTACAGCAGTACACAGTACACTGTACATTTTACACTGTTCAATTGGTTCTTTGTAAACTGCACATCGTACTTAGACGGTTGGTTGTAAACTGTACATCGTACAACACTAGAAGCTCCGGTTGAAATCAAGTGCCGGACCGACCTTCAACTAGCTAGAGCAAGCTGTACATACAATTACAGACTATGTAAGGCAACCCGGAACATTACGCCAAATGAATGATCCCCTTCTAGTGAAATTTATGTGACACGGTTCGCTGTAAGCTACAAACTGATGTACAGTTGTAAACCGTGCACGGTTCATTGTAAACTGTAAACTGTAGTATAAACTAAACAAGGTTCATTACAAACTATACACAGTTCATATGTTACAAAGACCTTTAAAGTTTACACTGTCATGTACGCTGTTTACTGTCCTATACTGAATACTACACTATAAGCAAACCTTAACCGTGTACGCCAGGGAGTAAGGAATAGAAGGGAGATATAACTGACGCGGTTCGCCCTAACACAAGATTAAACATGCTTTGCAGATGGGTACTCCATTTGTATTTGAAATATTCAGAAAAGGTTATTGTATACACGGTAATTGTACATCAGACAAATATTTCTTATTCAAATGAGGTACCCGTCTGCAAAGCATGTATAATCATATGGTAGGGCGAACCGCTTCAGTTATATCTCCCTTCTATTCCTTACTCCCTGGTGTACGCACAGTCATGTACGCTTTACACTGTCCTGTACTGCGTACTATGTACACTGTCCTGTACTGCGTATTATGTACCCTGTCCTGTACTGCGTATTATGCACCCTGTCCTGAACTGCGTACTATGCACACTGTCCTGTATTGCGTACTATGAACGAGTATGAAAACTGTCCTATAGTGTGTACTATGTACACTGTCTTTACTGCGTACTACATGCACACTGTCCGTGCTGCGTACTACATGCACACTGTCCTGTACTGCGTACTACATGTACACTGTCCTGTACTGCGTACTACAGGCACACTGTCCTGTACTGCGTACTACATGTAAACTGTCCTGTACTGCGTACTACATTCACACTGTCCTGTACTGCGTACTACATGCACACTGTCCTGTACTGCTTACTACATGCACACTGTCCTGTACTGCGTACTACATGTACACTGTCCTGTACTGCGTACTACATGTACACTGTCCTGTACTGCGTACTACATGAACACTGTCCTGTACTGCGTACTACATGAACACTGTCCTGTACTGCGTACTACAATGTGTACACAACTGTAGTTCTAGATTTATATTCAAGAGGAAGAGTAAACTTTTCCTCTGCTCAGTTTAGGGCAGGGAGTATGAAATAGAAGGGAGATACAATTGACGCAACCCACCCCACCATATGATTATACATGCTTTGCAGACGGGTACTCCATTTGTATAAGAAATATTCAGAATAGGTTATTTTATACGCGGTAATTGTACATCAGACAAATATTTTGTATACAAATGAAGTATTTATAAGCATATTGAAGGGGGAGCCGCGTCAGTTGTATCTCCCTTCTATTTCATACTCCTTGGTTTAGGGGTCTTGGAAAGGGATGTATACAGTCCCCTCCCCCCCCCCCCCCTCCTCTTCTTAAACTTTAGTCTTACCAGTATTTGGAAAAAAGAGAACGTTATTTTAAAAAGCAAGCCAAAAAAGAGAAAAAAAGTAACATTGAATTGTTTATAAAACAAATGGAATAGAAGTTTAGAACCCATGGTGATGCAAAACTAGAAATTTAAATTTATATTTTGGATGAAATTGAAATGACATGAAAATTGTATACTCCTGCAGGTTGAGGGGAAGTGGTTATATTAAATCCAGAGAATAGAACTTTACTTAAAGTTGAACCCAACTCTAGGTTTCTATCTCTCTCTACTATAATACTTGCTCAAGTGTCTTTGGAATTTAAAAAAAAAATCTAAATTCTATCTTCAAAAAAAGTTTGCTTATGATACCCTAGGAATACCCACGGGTTCCCTCAAAAATGTTCAGCGTTTTGTTTCAGCCGTTTGGCCAGCTATAGATAACATATATATTATATATGTATATATGAGTGTGTGAGCAAAGAGATTTATTATAAGATATATAGATATACACACCCAGTCAACACTGTCTAATTTTATATTATTAGCATTTTAAAGTTCTTAGTTATTTGAAAAAGAAAATAATTAATTCTTATTTTTATTTTAGTTGATCTATACCTGTTCTCCGGGTCATGTTGCCAGTGGGTCCTTGTCACGTGAATGTCAGCTGGGTGGAGAATGGTCTGGATCAAAACCGGTTTGTATCGTATTTGTATTTACAAAATGGCCGCCAGGAAAAACCGCCAATTTAATTCTTTATCTATATTAGGTGTGCCAGTTTGTGGACTGTGGTAGTCCTCCTGAACTAGAAAATGGCGAGGTTGAGCTGGTGGACGGTAGGACGACCTACGGAGCTGAAATGAGATATTCCTGTGGTCCGGACTACAACCTCAGCGGTGATACAACAAGAAGGTCAATTTTTGTTTCATAAATTTTAATACTTTTTTAACTTAAAGGGACTGTTCACGTAATTTTAAGTGACTCTCTATTTAAAGCTTGTGTGATTTTTTTCAAAGGGTTTTATCTCTAAAAAGTGATTTGCGGTTTTATGCTGGAGAGACAAGGATGGGAGAAAATTTTCAGATTTAACATTTAATTTTCATGATAAAAAAACGAAATGTCTTCTCCTTTGTTACTCATAAAAAAGGTTTACATTGTTCTGACTCGGGCGGGCCCAGTTTAAATGAACCGTTTCCCTTGAATTAACGTTTACAGTCCCTTTACTATAATTCTGCTTTATTCACTTTGTTCTTTAAGCAAGCTTTTTTTACAGAAATATTTGAATGTGTACATATAAAAGCCTAGATAAAATTAAATCTATGTATTTTAAAATAAAATTCTATTTTGCTGTATGATTAAGAAGGAAATTCTATTTGTCAACTCTACCCCTCCGCGGCATTCTAAACTGACGTTGTTCCATCCCACACTATATAGTTTAAAGGGACTGTACCCTACTATATAGTTGGAAGGGACTGTACCTTCTATATAGTTTAAAGGGACTGTAATCGTAATTTCAAGTGACTCTCCATTATTAGATAGCATTGCCCGATTTACTACTGTACCCTTTAAACTTTTGTCTGTAAATCAAGTACAGAGAGCTCTGTTTTTAAATAATCAAAACCCGCTTGAATTCCTGTAAAACCCTGTGCACGCTTTGTACAGTGGTGTGAATTCAACACAGCTGATCCGTTGTATGTCCCTTGAAATAACTGTTTTAAGTTAAAAGCTATTTTCAAAAAATTCGAAAGAAAATTTTTATTTTCTGACAGGTCTAGTAAGCTAATATTAAGCATTAAACAGCTTGCAAACAAAGGGTTTAACAATTGAAAGCATTTCTGTAGATTAATGAGGATAAGTCCCATAACTTTGTACAGTAAAAGTTTTAAAGGGTAATGTTGTGACTCGAGCACTCTGCAAATTAAAGAGTCAAATGAAATTATGTCTACAGTCCCTTTAACAATAATTGTTATCAGAAAATTGTCCCGTTTTCAGTTTTACACCTCGTCAACTATAAAATTAATAAAATGGAAAATCGAAAAAAATTTCCATTCAAAAATCCATTTCAAAAGTAATTTTTAAAATTGGGTCAATTTGTCACATAACGCCAGGAGGGTGTCGGAAAAAATGGGACCAGTTTTAGTTTTTACCCAACCCTTCATTTCTAGACTTTTTTCGTTCTCTACATTAGACAACTTTGAATTTTTAACCAACGAATCTTGGGAATTTGAATAAATGATTATTGTTAGACCAATCCTCACTTTTTTATAAATAATTGAAAATAAATCAAACTGAAAAACTAAAAAATCTACAGTTTTTTCAATAAATTTCAAATTTCAAATTAAATAATTTAAATGGGGGGGGGGTCCAAACTTTTGACCCAAACTGTAATTCTTGTAAAGTAAAATTGATTGCAGTCAACTTGATAAAGAACTGAAATAAGTGTACAGCTGCCATAAAACTGATGCAATCTGTCAGAGGAGAAACTAAGGGTATTTTGTTAGGAACGGCGGAGCAGAGGCGCGCTTTAGTATTAAGGGGTGGGGCGGAGAATTCTTTAAAAGTTTAATTTTATAGAACTTTCGAATTTTCTTTCCTGATTTTTGTATTCTGTATACAGCTTGAAGTTAGGATAAAAAGATTCCAATCAGACTCTAAAAGTTTTTTCTTTACATTAAAAAAACATTTTTGCAGAAAATTTCTTCGCAATTTTTCTAAAAAGTTAAAAAATTCTTCTAATATTTCTAACATACAATGAATGATACAAGAAGCCTGATGATTTCTGTGAAATTAATAGACAAATATTTGTAATCAGTGAAAACAAACCTAGACAACTGGAACTTCTTTATGAAAACTTATCTTTTCAATGAAAGTAATGTATCGACAAGAAAAATGCAATGCGCACACTGGTTGCACAAGATAAATGTAGTTTTATGTTTACGTGTAGTATACGTTTTGTAATATATATTTGTACAAGTATATTCTGCTGTGTAGTGTACTGTATGTTCAAGTACATCGTAATGTCTACTGTATGTAGTGCACTATGTACTGTACTCTGTGTACAGTAACACCCAAAAACCGTGGAATAGAAACACGACGTTTAAGCAATGTTATGTGTATTTGACGATGTTTCGAAATCAAATATAATTTTACCAAAAACAAACAGTTCTAACTCGATCAGTAAAATTGGCGCACACTGGCCATGGGTGTAATGTTCATCGAACTTAAAATCATAATTTGAGTCTAACAGGTATCCATCTTATTTTACTGTTTTATGGGTCTTATTGTAAAGTATAAATTACTAGATGTATGTACATATGAACTGCATTTATAAGTACTGTATTTATATGAACTGTATTTGTATGTACTGTATTTATATGTACTGTATTTATATTTACTGTATTTATATGTATGTACCATGTACAGGTGTGAAGCGAATGGTAAGTGGAGTAAAGGACGGACAGAATGTAAGATTATAGAATGTCCGACCCCAAGATCTCCGGCCGGAGGGAAGGTTTCAGGATATAATTTCCAGGTTCATAGGAAGGTAAGCAAACTAAATATTCATTCATGTTTAATCAACTCATTTAATATTTAAATATTTTTTTAATTATTTTTTCTTTATTTTTTATTCGGTGTTTAATTACTTAAAAAACTTGTCGTCATTTGTAGATTATTGTATAAATATTTCTATTTAGGGTTCTTCACATTATTTAGGATTTTGAATTGAATGAAAGCTAAAAAATCAATGACACTAATAGTTTTGAAAATCAGACATTTAGAAACTTGTTATCAAATAGGAGGAATTCAACAAAACAAAGTTTATATATATAGTTCTGGACATGTTAATACTTCTTTTAATTCGTTGATTAACGGTCAGTGAATTAACGGAACGTGCTGCCGTGCATGATTATTATGTTAGTTCAGTTTACGAGTTTATCCTGGAGTTGGCAGATTAAACCATGAGCCTCTAGTACCTCGAATGATTTGGTTTGAATATTTAATATATGTGAGAAATTGAAACCTTCTCCGGAGATTCCAGGAAACTCTGGAGTTTTATCAGTCTTATGCTGAAGCAACAATTCTAAACAGAGGTTTCGTGAATATTTTTATCATTTAAGAATTATTTTATTACTGTGGGACACACAAAACTGTAGAATAGAAAGACGACCGTTCGACTCAAGTTATCATTTTTAAAGTTAAATTAATATGAATGGAATATTCCCTCATCTTTTATTGCAACCCCATTGGGTTGCAAACTAGATTATAAATCTCAGTCATGGGGCTGGTACGAATTTAGTAAAGCTTTCATAATCTCTGATCTGAGATAGCAATGCATTGCGTTCCTTAAATGATGAGATATATAATTATTTCAGCTTTTCCACGAAAATTAACATTTAAATCCCTAATATTTGCGTTGCAATCCTGAAATTAGGGTTGCAATGCAAATAACAGAGATTTAAAAGTGTTATAATTTTGTCTAAAATCTGGAAAAGTACATTGTTCTAACCAAATTGAATTGTAATTTCGTCGTTCAGAGTTTATTGTGATTCAAGGTTTTAAACACAGCGCACACAGAACTTGGTCCAGGGGGGGGATTATTTTTTTTCTTTCCTGGGGCTAATCACCTGTTGGGGCCTGAAAACCCCCTTGGAAACCATAGATTTTACCTATTCAGTCCGGTGGGGGGCGTTCCCCCCTGTGTACGCTTCTGTTTTATATCTATAAAGATTAAAAACTTGAAATTCAGATCTTTTGGCCACGAAATATCTGTTATTTAAAAGATTATAAATATCTAAAGAAAACAGCTTATTTATTTAGATTTAATAGTTTCTTCAGGGAAAGTTAAAATCTATTCTATTTTGCCAATATATTGATATTTTTTTGTTGCAAAACGGAAAATTTAACAATATCGAATTTCAAGACAAAGTTGAATTTGTTTATTTCTATAATTTGCAAAGCATAATTTTGGATATTTTAAAATTGCTTTAAAAACAAGTTTTTATTTGAAATTTTTCTTAACTTAAAATGTCACTTAATGGTTCTCCCAATGTGAATTAAGTTTAGTGTTTTTTTGCTTGTAATTTACGACATTTATACAATCCATATACTTTTAGGTTAGCTTTTCAAGTCACCACTATCCAATAAATTATTTTTGACGATTTTTTATTACATGCGTTTATGGGTTTTCAAAAATTAAAAAAAAAATCAGTTTGACATGAGATACCACAAAAAGTCCGATCCATTTAGCCGTTTTGACGTTTATTTCGTAAAATCAAAGGAATAGGTGACTAGACAAGGCCAATATATAAATACATTGGTATCAGATATTTTGAAAGAATAAAATCTTTAAAGAAACTGTGCATCAGCTTTAGATGAAACCCGATATCGACTAAATCAAAAATTGATATTTATTTGTAAACCCAACTTGAAACCTTTCCGTCCTGCTCGTCCTGTTTAATATTATCATCAAGACTGGGGGGGGGGAGGTGACGATATGGGGAAAGGGGGGTGACGGGGGCAATGCCCCTACTTGTAATTCTTAGAAATTTTAGTTTTCCCAAATTAAACTAAAAGAAAACAAAAACGATATAGTGCTTTTCTAAAATCCTACATATCTAAGCCTCCCCCCCTTAATATTTCTAAAGGAGGGAGGCTTGAAATTACTTGACACTTCATTTAAGAATACAACAAAAAAGTTCGCGGATTTTATAAAAAAAATCGTGGATTTTAAAAATTTAATGAGAAAATCGAATTTTGTTGGAGGCTATTTTTAAAAATTTTGATTATCCACCTCACATTCTCCTGGGTCATGTGAGGTCCTACACGAAAATTGGGCCCGATCGCTTTAGCCGTTTTGGGCGTTTATTGGATACGAACAAACACCCAGACAGACAAGCAAAGTATATGTATAGATAAGCAAGTAGATATATTATTTATAAATGTCTAATTGAAACTTTTACCCTTTGCTTTCGTTTCTCATTAGGCTGACATTTTTCTTTGTAAATCGTATTTCGCGTTTTTTTTGTATAAATTTCTAAAATTGTCCAAACAAAATTTTGTAAGTGGGCACAGAAGAATTGAGCCAGATTGTTTTAATCGTTTTCATGTTTTTTGGACACAAACAAACAAATAAAAGTATATACAAATAGATGAAATACATGTTTAAATCTATTCTATTTAAAATGAATCAATGCATGCCTGAAGTATATTCTGTAGCAAATGGCCTGTAAATAAAAGAAAATCCCTAAAGCAATCCGAAGCATGAAATGATTAAGTATTATGAACTACTTCTATCCCATTAAATTCAGATAAAACACAAATATATTGTTTTATCTGGTTTATAATGTGGAGACAAAATAATCTAGATATTTATCATTTCTAGGAAATATAAATAGAAATAAAAATAAAAAATATTCTCTAATCGTTTATTCATGTGATGAAAGTAGCTGATATTAACTGTTTTTCTAGTCAGTTAGGTTATATATATATATCTTTGTTAACCATTAATTTTAAAACCTCTATAAAATGTCGTCTTCAACTCGAATCTCCTGTCGGAGACAGCCAAACCAAACTTTCAGCCCGCAATTCCCTTGTTCTCCTCCGACGGAGCTTAAAATATTTTCGTTGTTGTGAAATCATTAAAGTTAAGCAAAATATTTTCATAAGAAGCATAAGTGAATTTCGTTAAATATTCAACTGTAATTTTTCAGAAGTTAAAAAAACGTATTTCAATACTGATCAACAAT